AAAGCACCAATATCGCGACTGCGACACAGTCGTGGAATCGTTGCTTCCAGCTTACCATCGGCGACGGGTGTGAAGCGACGTCCTTGTGTGCATCTTAAGTGAAAGTGACAAGTAGAACAGTTTTACCTCCAAAGAAGCCCGGTTAACAGCATTTTTCTTAAAGAGGCGCGCGCCGGAGCTAGGCGAATGGCAGGAAGCAAAGGAAGCGGAAAAGCATGACAAAGCATACGCTTCAGTCTCGCCCTTGCCTGAACAACATGCACAATAAAGGAGATCACAACCCTCACCCGCAAGTACTCCTCGCAGCGTCCCTCAGGGAAGATGCCGAGCAACTTTGGGCCCAGCCGGCGCTCCGAGAGTAACACGAAGATCACGTTCTGGATGATTTGGTAGTTATCGTATGGCAGCACGTCCTGTGTCGAATCGATGTAGAACCGCAGCAAAACCTCACTTGGTTCGTCATTGCGCCGAATGTCCTCAGGCAAGCAGCACCAAAACAACAGGTTACTCATGCCGGTCCTAAAAGAAAGGATGAAATTACCGCTGATATTTGATAGACGCTCAACAATGAAGCGAAGAACTGAACAGCCAACAGCCAATAACCAAATCAGTAGGAACTAATTTGGTAGAAACTTTGTAGAACAGAATGTAACGACAACCGTCTTGAAATACATATATTTCTCAGCAAGTTTTACAGATGGAAAAAGGAAGTTGGAGTGTTTGTCAGAATTATACAATGCTAGTATTTCTCGATCTTCAATGTTCCTCCAAAACTGGTGATAACGGGAAGCCAAAATGTGCACCGCAGTTTCGTTGGTATATTGCCTACTGAATCTGAAGCATCTACAATACACCAGGCAGATTTTCAGAGCGTCATATTTTTTTAAACCGCCGACTGGACTACAGCTATCTGAGACATAAAGGATTATTCTATCAACAAAACAGCAATTCCCCGTTGTCTCAAGTTCCAGCGTTACTTCTCACTCAACATAAACACAAACATTATTTACTTCTGACAGAAAAAATTCAGCCATTATCGTTCGGAACGTAAGATGATGACAGATTTACCATCTTTTAACCAGAAACAATCAGCTTCCTCCTAAACAATGCCAAAATTCGGATTACAAGAAAGATGCACGTGTAACGTAGAAACGATGAGATTTCTGATCTAAGAGAATCATGAGAAAAAAGGCAATAAATTCTTCATCTTACTAGATTCAATTATGGGATCCACTCACGAAATTCAATGTCATATAGGCCAGCCACGAATAAGGAAATACACACCATCAGCAAGTTGCGGTAGTCTGAGAGTACCTCATTTGCAAAAGTGATTAAAATTGCCTAATAACTCGCAACACTCAACACTTTCCATTCCGGGTATATAAGATTTTCCGAACCTTTAGCTATTTGCACAATGCCGGTGAGGAGGGTGTACAAATCTGCTTGATGGAGAGAGTTTCCACTATAACTAGCTGTTGTCGATGAACTATCTCGAAACCGAAAAGCATGTGTTTTTATTTTACTTCAGAAACTGCCCTAGTGAAACTACCTCCTCTTTCCTTACCCAAAAAAGTTGCTATTAAATGAAATAACCTCTGTCCCATATGAAAGCAGGGAGCGCTTCATGGACAGGACAAAACTCGACTGAAGTTGCTGTTCATTTAAATTATCTAGCCTTTCAGAAATTCGCAACGAATCATTAATGAAAAAATGACAATGAACAACTGATAGATGTACAGTTGCCAAAAATAATTTTTTAGTTTCCGAAGGTAAACACGGTCACCTGATCTGAAGGACCTTTGCATCCGTTGATGAAACTGTCTTCCACATGCCGCCAAGCATCTTAGCACACAACGCCAAGGCACGTTCCTTCATCGCCGAGGATACCTCGCATTTGTCGGCCACGGTAACCTCATCACTAGCCACAATTTCGTCATTTCTTCCCTCAAGAGGATCTGGATCGTTGAGGACGCCGCCACCGCGATCGAAACGTACAGAATCCATGACTGCAACACAAATAAACAGCCGTGAAAAAAACTATATAATTGCCGAAGTACAAAAGGCAAAGGCATCAAAACAGAGTGCACAAAACAAGCAGAAACAACACACAAAAAAACCAGGCGAAAGGGCGAAGGCGAGCGGTGACGTAAAGAGCAGTGAATATTGTAACCAACGATTGCTCGAGCTTTTCTCTGACACCGGTAATCGGTATGTCACTTGCTTTGGCAATACAGAGTTGGTGTTTGAGACGCAAGTCTGAAAAAGCATGACAATCCACTTGAAACC